GTGAGACTCCAACTCAAAACAAAACAAAACAAAACAAAACAAAACAAACAAACAAACAAACAAACAAATAAATATATATATAAAAATGAAAGGGAAGAAGTAAAAATTTATATAGTACTTGCCACTGTTAGGCACTTTAAATAAACCGCAATGTACCCATTTTACTATAAAGTATTTTTATTTCAGAGAAATCGGTGACTTGTCTTAAATTTTCACAGCTGGTAGGTTGCATTCCTATCCAGGTCTATTGGACTTCTGAGTTCTTAGTTTTCCAAATCCTGTTGCTTCCTAAGTGTCAGTTTTCTCTCTTTGTATCAAACCATCTTCCATGGCCACATGACAAACGTATTTTGGAGTGGCAGGATAGAGGTCTCTTCCACTTAGTTCTTCTCTGTGTGTCTTTCTAGAATCTGACAGCATCTGTTCCTGGTTCTCTTGTACATAAGTGTTAGTGGGCTCAATGCCCACAATGAAAGATGGGCTTGCACGCACGAGTGGAACCCCTGCAGGCTGTTGGAAACCATGCTGTGAAGCACAGATGGATTCTACAGGACAAAGGACCAGCTTTGCAAGTCAGTTATGAGATTAGCACTATCAGAGCCAAGCACCAGATAACAGGGCTTGAGGCAGAGAGGATTCTGTGAAATTAGAGAGAGGATGGATACAAATGGTGTGATGTAGAAGAGATACGTCATCTTAGAGACAAGGGTTTGTCTTGACCACTACATGTCCTGTAAAACATATACACACTCTAAATTTAAAGTCTATGAAAATAATTGTGTGGCAAACACGAAGTTATCAAGAACTTACTGTGAGTCAAGTTTTCATACAAGACCAAGGCACGCTTATGGCCCTTAAGACCTCAAAATCTATCTGGCAACTTAGCTCATTCATTCAACAAATATTTATTACTGAGCTGTGCATAGGCCCTGGGGAAAAAGACAGTCCTTACTTCCCAAAGAATTTACATATAGCTGAACAAACAGGCATTAACAAACACACAGGATTATTTAGTTACTATGGGGATAAGCACAATTAATTGCCCTGTGTGAGTCTGGTCCCCAATACTTGCTATAGTGCTGGGGCTGGTAAACATTTCTTTAAAGGCTCAGAGAGTAAATATTTTAGACTTTGTAGGCTCAGATGGTCTCTTTCACAATTACTCAACTCTGTAGCACAATAGCAGCATGGACAAGATGTAAACAAATGGGTGTAACTGTGTTCCAATTTAAGTTTATTTACAAAAACAGTCAGTGGGCTGGATTTAGCTTGTGAGCTGCAGTTTGCTGGCCCCTGATTTAGAGCCACTATAAATAAGATCGGGATATAAGATAAAGAAAGCACCTGCCTAAATAATTGTCCCTGGGGGCATTTAAAAGTTTTACCCATTTGTGCTTAACTAAAGGCCATTTAAAATTATTAGAATTATTTCAGATATGACACAATTAGGGAACCATAAGAGACTGAGTTTATACAAGCAGGAGAAATGGCTTGAGAAGCAAGGTTATCACCCAGAGTTTTTAAACATCAACAGAAATTTAATCCAGTTCTATTTCATATTAGAAAAATTTTATTAGTTGCCTTTAAGTATAAACAGAAGTTTTTTTAAAGGACAAAAATAAACAACAAACAAACAAGAACCCCAAACAAAAGTATTCCCAAACGATCTAAACATTTCTGAGACACTAATTTGTTTTGTGATATTCCCAACTGAAACCCTGGGTCCAGATTGGCAATGTCAGTAATGATTTCATGCCTTGCTGGTCTCTCTGGCACCTTGGTGCCCAGCAACCTCATTAACAGAGCTGCAGTGTGGCTGCAGCTCCTGCTGGTTCCCAGGGAAGATGATGAGAGTTGAGGGAACATGGTCCTAACCTGGAGAGCTCACATTTGTGCAAATTTGCTTTAGTGTCTGCCAAGAAGATGCTGTGGCTCAGTCCAAGAGGAGCAGGCAGGCCATCTGAACAGAGATAGACTCCTGTGCTCTTGTGGGACGCCCTTCATGGTCAAGAAAATAAGTGTCTAAGTGAATACAGGGAAGTGGGTGATTTGAGGGTCTCATGGGGTCAGAATTTCCACATCCTATCACACATAACCTTCAGAGTCACCATGGCAGTGAGACGATTTTTATCCTTGGTTGTACACATGAGGAAAAAGATTCAGAGAGTTTTATCTAAGATCACACAGCTAGTAAGTGCTGAGCAGGAGTTTGGATCCAAGTCTATATGACCTCAAAGTCTGTGCTCATTGTGCTGCGCCATACTGCCTTTCTCTCATGTATGATCTGTTGAAGTGGTCATGCCACGACACGAGCTTCTCTGTGTGTCATCCAGTACCCTATAGATTGTTTAGAACACCACAGTTTCCTCCAACAGAAATGGAGCATGGTGTGGTGAATCATAATGTGAGCCCTGGAGTATGACCTCTAGGGTTTAGAAACTGAGTATGTCATTTATCAACTAGTGTCCATGGATAAATGATAACTCCTCTAATGCTCAGTTTTTCCATCTGTGGAATAAGGGTAGCAACACATTATTGTGAGGACTAAATGAGATCATGTAGGTAAAGAAGCCAGCAACAATCACACCTTCTAAGCAATGATTAGTTCCTGTTACTTTGTATTATGACATTCTCCCTTCTGGCATTTACAGTGAATTATGGTTGCAGTGAGATGATGGAACTACATGGCCCTGAAGCCAGTTGCTTGAGTTTGAATTTTTGCTGTGCCTATTCTTAGTGGAGAGAGTTCAGGAAAGTTGCTTAGCTTCTCTGCCTTGGTTTCCTTGTCTGGAAAATGGAGATAACCATGGTATCTGCTTCTTAGGGTTTTTGTGAGGGTTAGATGAATTGAATGCACTTAACTTGGTGAAAACAGCGCCTGCACATAGTAGGCGCTCAAGATATCTTCATTATTGTTATTGTTGATTGTGGTTGTTGTTATTACTAAACTGATTTCGATAATGATGAGCCACCCAAATTCAGGAACAGATTTTCTTAGGGGTCATTGCAGATTTCTTTCAGACAAATTTTAGAATTTTAAGGTCAAGCTACTCTACCTTCACTGCTAAAAAAGGCCTGAGTGCTGACCCAGTTCTTTCACTCTCTTCCTTTCTTCTCTCTTTGTTTTAAAAAGAAAGTCTTTGAAAGTGATGCCTCTAGGCTTGACTCTTACTTGATGGTCCAGGAGAAGAATTCAGTAAGAGAACTCTCTACCCCCTTATTCAAGTCTCAAATCATAGGCTATTTTGTTATTTTCTTCCTGGAAATCGATGAACCAGTTCAGAAAATAGAAGTGTCCCTTGGCCAGGTGACAAAAATATCTGCGTGCCGCTGTGCTACTTTTCTGAGCTTTTAGAAAGATGAAAGTTCTTGCTCCTCTTGAGCATTGTGTTTTAGTGGATCCTTCATCTAGAACGGTTTTACTTGCAGAAGAAAACGGTCTATGAGCATGTGGTTAGCATCAAAAGCTCAGCTCTGCTTAGCTCTGCCAGTGGTTAATTTCCTTTAAGCCAAGGGTAATGAACTCATTTGTTAATTAAACTCATCATCCATTCTTTTAAAAAAAAATGACTGAGTATTACCATGTGTTTGGTACTCCTCTGATCTAAGCAATCCAAGAAGACAAAGTCCTGGCACTCAGCGAGTTTGATTCCATTGGTGAAAACAGAGGTCACACAAGAAATGTAAAATACAAACAACACCATATAATGGTGCAGTGCGACATTCAATCTTACCACCTTACCTACTTTTATTCAACTAGGAAGGAAACTCAGACTGGGCATCCTGGAATTAGGTGACTTGTTTTTGTGCCCACTCTACTATTTAATGACTGTGTGACCCTGGGCTGACCTGAAGTCTTCCTTCTGAGATTCTACAATTTTAGATGGTTAATGAATGAATCCACATTTCTTTTAAACTCCTTTTAGGTGATGTTTATGCATTTTATGGCGGTATGTTTTTTAAAAAAATCACCCCAGAAATGACTTTAAAGGTAGGAAATTTGGGCTACCTGGAATGGTAAGCCATGTTTTTTTCTCTCAAATGACATTGAATTGTTGGCACCTTACACCTTTGTTTCCTTGAAGCTGGAATGGCAATATTGACAAAACATAAGGCAAATTACAGCATCCTCCTCTGCTTGTATTTGATGAATTGACACCAAAGATTTTTCATAATTTAAAAAAACAAAGACAAAAACAAAACTCCCTGACCTGAAACTGTAGGCAATTCCCTATCTTCATGCAAAAGAAGAGAGCTTCACTTTCAGGCAGGAATTTCATGCTTTGCCTGCAGAGTTTTGATTTCTTGGAAGGGTTTAGTCACTTGGTGTGTATTTTATTGGCTGTTAGTTTTTCTTGCCATCTGCAGTGAAAAGACTCAGCAAGTTCTACGCTTAAGACAGTGATTTAGCACCTAACAGTTGACTCCTGGGGCTTGATGTCTGTGCCAGCCACAGGGAAGACATAGAGCAATATCAGATGGGGCAGGTTCATTAGAATAAATTGCGAGTTGAATTTTCAT